AAAAGATGGCATGTATGGCAATGTATATACCTGGGGGATTCCCATAGAGTATCAGAAGGTATCATAGGTGAATCAAGGAATTTAATGTCATCCCTGTTGAGTTTGCTCATGAGTCAAACACTTGCTGGGTGATCTTGAAGGGAGATAACTTATTCAGTTTCTGTGTCCTTATTTTTAAAATGAGGATGATTCAAATTTAAAGGATATTGAAAACTAACATTTATTGAATGCTTACAATGAACTACAAGTATTTTATTATTCCTAATTATTCTAAAATATAGCTATTCTTATGATCTCTATTTTACACATGAAGAAAAGAAGTTATAGATACACTAAGCAACCAGTAGACAGTAAATCTGAAATTTAAAATTAGGCAGTGCTGAAAACCACAGTGCCTCTAAAATGTTATGTTTCATTGTCTGATGATTTTTTCATTTTCTCCAACCAAGTATTGACACTGAGGCCAGGCAGGATTTGCAAAACAGGGAAGAATACCTGGATGGGCTTTTCCTTTCTCAAATCAACACTTAATACACCCCTTAAAATTGTCAGGTTTATACATTACTTACTAAGTACTGTTTCCTGTAGCATTCAAAAGGAAAGGCCACTTTTTCCTCAGGATAAAGTTTCTCTAGTTAGGAAGCTAACCATACAGTTTATCTGCCATCATTTCCCCCAGGACACTAATTGATATCTGCTATTTAAAATTTTATGTCTAAAATCAAGGTCAAAGATGAAAGCATGTACACTTTATGGAGAATTTTTTGCAGAGACCAGGTATGACACAGGAATTAAAACAAGCATTTGAACAGATTTGTATCCTTCATATATTTCCTCCTTCCTCTTATCATATATATTTTATTTGGGTTGAAACTGCAAAAGTATTCAATAATTTACCTAAAGTACATCCATACAAACACTAAGTAATCCTCTTAGTTATTGGCAAGTGGTGATAACACCTTGTGCTCATGAGTAAATGACCAGGAAACTAATAGATGAGGAGCAAGAAAATAATACAATTTATTCAGTGAAACAGGTTTTATGTACTTCTATTTTGTTTTCCTACCAGGAGACATTGAAGAATAATCTGAAGTATGGGGAGCTTATTAATAATGATTGAGAGACCTTTGATTTTCACTCATAGTCTTAATATGATTAGCCCTAACTGATTCACGAAATGGACTTCAAAAAATAAACTGGCATATGAGAATTAGAAGAGAAGAGCAGGGAATGGTGGGAAGTCAGGAGCATGGGCTGCCTGCCAAGGTCAAATCACTTTCATATAGCCAACGAATGGAGATTTCTGGGGAAACATGAGCATGTGGCCTGATCATTTTATGTCTCTCCCTTGAGGTCTTCCTCATGAGGCCAGGTGATATGTTGTTGCTTCTGCTTCACCACACCAGATAAAACGAGAATTGAATTCCAGCCAAGGATGATGCATTTTGTATTTTCTCATCTTGGACACTATTATTCTCGTCTACTCTTTTGGTCAGGATTGCCTTTTAAAAGTTTTCACTGAAGCCAACCACTCTGCTTTTCCTTGGGGACATTATAGAAGAGGAAAAATAATCGAATGGGATGCTTTTTATTTCAGACACAACTGGACAAGTGAGGGCAAAGTGGGAATGACGTAAGGAGTCAAAAACTGATGTCTGCATTTGAAACTACATGTTGGCCCTGTTCCTTCAGAAAGGAGAGCCCTCCCTGTCTGCAACTTGATCCCAGGGTTCATCAAAAAAGAACCTTTTCTGTTGCTTACACTGGCTTTGAGAGTCTCCAGCCCTCTCCCCACACCCTCTCTTTCATTGCTAGAGACCAATCTTTTATTTTGTGGTAACCCTCTCATAGTTGCCCTACAACCTCTCACTGGTCCTACTCTGCTTATGGATATTGTAGCCTCAATGATTCCTTCCCTCCCTGTTGCTTTTTAAATTTGGAAATGTAAAAACACAGCATTTTTAAGAATTTACTGGTTTGCAAAGGAATAACACCTTCACCTGAGAGAAAACACAGAGGATCTGTAGCTAATTCTTTGCAGAGAAAAATGCCTCAGTTCTCAATTTGTTGTGGTTATTTCACCATTGATAATAGTTCTCCTTTTTTTTTTTTTTTTTTAAGTCCCTGAAAGGGGGTTAAACCAACGTCCTCTCTTGTTAGGCAAGCAAGCGCTCTACCACCATGCTACATCCTGAGCCCTCTCTCTGTTTGTCAATCCTGGCTGTTTCTTGTCTTAAGCATGCTCCTTTGCCTTGTAGTTGTAGAATCAAAACTTACTTGTAAAACAAATGAACTACATCGTAACTTTTAATATGGTTGCTGTGATTCAAGTATTCTGCAGAGGGGTAGAAAGAAACCCAGAAAACAGTAGATGGATTCAGTAGAGTCTTAAAAAAGCAAGACCCAGTAGAGAAATAATAGAATATTAGCCTAGATCAGGCCAGACATGTACTTAGAAGAACACAAGCATTTACCAGTAATGATTGCATGTGTACTTATTGTTATTAATTCTGTTATGCTTTAGATCTTTCTAGGACATAAATTCCTCTTAATTTACACTTGTGTCTTTCAAAGGGGGAAAAAAATAGCAAAAACACTCTCACCACCACCCAAACTAACAAAAATAAAACAAGCAATGCAGTGATATATCTCAGAAGATGTGCTTATCACACTGCAGGAAGGTCTGCCAAATGCAATTATTCAATGGAAGTACATTTGAAGATTATTTTTTCTTTTGCATCTTCTCTTTAGTATTGTCATAAATTCAATCTCCTTCATTGGCCTTGCCTGCTACCAACATTCTATCTTCACATTTGGATGAGTCTGAACTTATCAAGGTGATATATGGTGTGGTTTTTAAATGGGAATTTTAACATGTTGTTCTTCAAACCTGGTACCAATTAACAGTGACTCCTGCCTCCTTCATAAAGGAGCAGGGTTTGCTGCATATCTGGCCATACAGCTCCTGGTGGGCTTCTTAGCCTGCACAAGGCTGTGGCAATATCCTCATGCTTTATTATCTGCAGCCCACAGGTACAAAGACAGCAGGAATATACTTGCTGTGTGATTTTCCTGATACCCCATAAGCTCTGAACACTTGGGTTGGCCTCATACACTTTAAATCACTTTAAGACTGGAAAAATTTCAAACATATTTCTTTATTTTATTTCCCATGCACAAATGGAATAATGCATTCCAAGCAAAGAAACTTTAAAAAGCAAAACAAAACAAACACAGTACTTCTTCTTAAACGCTACCATTCCCCAAGGGGTACCATTTCATATTAAATAAAGACACAAAGATTGAGGGTCCTTAAAATCTCCCACGTGTTAAAAATAAAATCTCCAGAAAAATGAGTGCACACAATAATGTATACCCAGGACATAACTCACCATCATGAGAAAATGAAAAAGTTCTGTGTTACAGGTAATTCTCAATAGTATGCTGTACCAATATCAGGGCAGCTTCCAGAGAATAGAATTTTATTTTTTTCATCTCAAATGTGTTTTAGTCCTAAGTATTCTCTAACTTTCTACCATTATAAACCAGAATCATGTTTCCTGTTTTCAAGTACAATAAATAAATATTTAAGAAACATCATGAGACTATCTTTCTGCATAAACAATCATTTTTGATAGCATATGAGGATTCTGAGATATCCATATGTCAGAGGTCTTTGTTCTTAGCCTGTGAGGAAAATTGCCAAATACACTTCAGAGTGCCAGGCTTAAAAAGATGCTGTGGAGAGCCTGCCTGATTATCTGAATTCCAATTTGGCTCAAAATGAAAGGTAAAGACATTGCCTAGGTGCCTTTCAATATTGCTGCTCTAGTTGCAGTAAACCTCTCCTAATAGTTTATTACACTGAGAAAACAAAGCATATTCTAAAGAAAGAATCCAGGGCCCTCATCTCTAATACACCGGTCTCTTTGAATTTTTTTCTTTCTTTTTTTTATCAATTTCATAGATTTCTAACAACCACAGGATAGTTTTTTAAATCTGATTTTTATGCCAGTGGCACAATTTCCTCCTCTGTAAGTAGGACAGATTCATCCCACAAGCGACAATGGATGCTTCCCTGCTTAACTCAAGCATGACAGATTAAGCTTCAAACAGACCAGTAAATGCCACCTTCCCACTTAAGGAGACTGTTCAGAGGAGGCGTTGGGGCCTGCACTGCATTTGTTCCTTAACTGCCAGCTGATGTGCTGTTGCTGTCTGAGGCGGCCAAGCAGCCCTGAATGAGAAAGCTGTGGCCTGAGGTGTCATAGCTTATTGTGAGTGCTTCCAGGCAAATTCTTGGCATTTAAATTGTGCCCACCTCAGGAGGGTTGCCTTGTATAATGCCTGGCATAAAGCTGCCACTTTGCAATGTTTGTTTAATATCAAAGAGAATGGGAGAGAGAAACCTGAGCTTCTAGATGACTCTCAGACTTTGCCAGATGAAATGCTGATATTTTCTGACAAAGAGGTTTAGGTGACACTGGTGGGAAGAATAGCTAAGAAATAAATTAAAAGTGGTAAAATTAGCAAATGAAAAAACTAATAAAACACTAGGAAATGGAAAATGTAGTAGCCAAAATGGGTGATGTGTGATATAAGAAAATGCTTTTTAAGAGGAAAATGGCACTTGCAATATGTTTTTGAATGCATGTTGGAGACAAGTGTGTTACATTAAAAAAAAAAGGGGGGGGGGTTATCACTACTTCCAGAATTATAATATGGAGATAACCATTATGTGCATCACTGAGAAGAGCATCTTAAAATCCTATTCAATTTGTCCCTTAGTATTGCATATATAACTATAAAAGAAACCTGAATTTTCTTTTTTAACTTTTTGCACAAAAATAAAATCTAGAACATTCCTGTTGGTGTCAGAAACAAACTGAATCAGATAATGCAAAAGCATGAATATACTGTTCTCACCATTATGTACTTCATGGCTATTTTACTTATTTACAAGCCCATGCATATATTTATAATTTATCCCTTTTCCTCAGGTGCAAAGAAGGCTACCAAGGAGTCCGTTGTGATCAATTTCTGCCGAAAACTGACTCCATCTTATCGGATCCAAGTAGGTCAAGCATTTTTCTTCTCTCTAATGTATTATATAGTTAGCCCTTCCTTGAAGCAATGGTTGTTAACTCTGCTAAAGCTTGTATTTCACCCTGTGTCTCTGAAAGCTGCCAAGGACAGAGGATGGTAACAAATGTCAATATTCAAAGCATGCTTCCAGCTCACTTGGTCAAGGTCTTCCCTAGTGGGGTTTTTCCTCTGGATTCGACACCTCCTCTAATCTCAGATGGGAACTAACTCCCAGCAGACCCTGCTACCTTAGCTCTCAGCTCTCACTCCAAATTACCCAGTACCAAAGTTAGGAATACAGAATAATGAACACAGTTGTTCACCCAAAAGATGTACCTTACTGATTAAGAAGTTGTACCTCAAAAAGTGCATAAGTTTCAAACAAACTTTTAAAACACTGTTCTGAGCAAAACCTATTTGCATATAAGTAGTTTTTTGCTAACAATGAATTACATTTTACTTCATTCACAAAAGAAGACAATTTTCAATTAAGAAATATTATTAATCATTAGTTTCTGTTTCTGTATGGATTTAGAAATAGCTTCCTATATTAAAATGCCCAGTTCTGGTTAAATGTCAAATCTTTATTTTATCTATAAGTAGTTTTCTTCTCTTTCAATGGCTGCTACAATTGAATCATTACTAAAGAAAGGGGATTTTTATTGAACAACAATTTAGTTCAGTGAGGATAATGAGAGACATTTCCAAATCCTAGAGGCAATGTTATGTTTTCAGAATATTGAACTTGTATAACACGGATTTTTGCAAAATATTTTGTATTGACTATAGACAGAGGTTGTCCTGCTGGTTTGAATGGATTTTGTGGCATAACGAACATGTCTAGCTATCTTTCAACATCTTTTCAAAATGTATTTTCATCCTCCGCTCCTAATTTCCAGCTACATGTCCTGAGGTGAATGCAAATTTCCTAAAATAAAAGAAGTTTTTGTTTACTTTGATTTAAATGAGTTTTATTCTGACAAGGTAGCCTGTGGATGCAGTAATTAGCACTCTTATTTGCAAATTTAACACTCCTTGAGAAAGTGAAGGTTGTTGAAAAGCCAGCTACCAGCACAGCCATGGATACCTATGTTCTCCGAAATGTAGGGCAGTGTTCTCTAGGAATTATCGAAATACCATGGTCTTATGGGACTATGTTGCCTCTTATTTATCATATAATTGTGGCTGCTTATTAAGGTAGTTTCTGAATAGCTATTTTTGGTTGTGGTTATACACATATTCGGAATATTAGAATTGCAAGCAAAAATGGGTGTGGTGATTCTTCCTTTGGTTTTTTTTCTTTTTTTAGAAAGAAATTCCCTAATATATCCAGTTTCCTATTGGTTTTTCATTCTCATAGTTTCCTTTCCCTTTTCTCTTTTCCATCTTTCCCTTTCTTCACTATTTTCTTTCCTTTCTCCTAACCTCCCTCCTCCTTTCTGCCTCCTTTTTCTCTCTTTCGTATGTAACTGAGAAATGTCTATAGAGTACAGAATACTGGGCTTTGCATATGATACAAAGTAGGTAAAATAACTTCCTTAAATTTTGAATCAAATTTTGCTATCCAATTAGATATCATAATCCATCATAGCAAAAAAGCAAAGGTGAAACCTTCAACTAATGACTGTGTACTCCTCAGAGAAGGATGATCCTCCTGTCACAGTGACTATTTTTGCATGCATATAATTTATTTATTTAGTTAGTTCTGTGATATTTCTAATGGTGAAAACATTGGATATTCTAAATAGCAAGACCCAAAAACTTTAAGTAAAATATCATATCACATATATTGCCTGCTGTATTAATCTGACATTAAAATGACAGCTATATGAAATATTTCTATTAACTGAAACCACAAAATAGAAAATAATTTTTATAAAATCACAAAAGGAAGATCCTATTTTCATTCAAAGGTGAAACAAAAATATGCTGAAATGCTCCAAGGGGACTTTTAGTATTTGGGTTACAGAATAATATGAAGTTATTTTTCTTTTACTCCTGTTTTCTGAAAAAAGGCTTATGATGATGTGAGGCAAAGTGCCAAGATTCCTTAAAATAGAAAAGCAAATAAGCATTAAGAATCCATGGATGAGTCCTGGAGACACAGTTTAAATGGGAAAAAATATTATATCTTCCATTCATGCATGTATACATTGATTTATTTTTGAAATCATTAATTTATTTTATCAATGTTTTCTGAGCAGCTACTAATCAATAAGAGTCTGTTAATTCAAAATTATGCAAATATGACTTAGTCTCTGAGTTCCCCATAGACTAGTGACACAACACACAGGTGTGAATCTGGTGTAACATTCACCCCAATGTGACCTTGGCAGATTTATTTGGCTCCCAAGCCTCAGGCAGTGGCAATAATGGTATCTCTAAGCATCTGTCCCAGAGATCCACAGGGTCATTTCCAGATGAATCTTATCTCACCCATAATTACTATGTGTGTTTAAATGTCCTGGGTACCAGATACTGTGCCAAAGGGTTTTTACCTGGATTATTTCAGTAAATCTTCCGAGTCACAGGCCAGCAGGGCATATAGTACAAATTGCCCACATTTTGTAGATGAGGAAATTAAACCTCAGAGATGCTAAATAAACTTGCTTAAGGTCACACAACTAGTTAATAAAATACTGGAGTCTTACTTCTCTTCCAAATGACTCCAGGGCTGCCTGTGCTCCCAAATGCAGTGTTCTTTCCTCCTCTCCCAGAACCCTCCCTCCCTCCCTCCAGTTATTTTCAACAGGACATTTATCACTCTAAATTTCATTGACTGAAACTCAATGACCTGAGGCAAACATCATTCTAAGGAACAATATTTGCACAATTTTCATATCTTAATGCAGCAACTTGAGCTTCCATAGAGATTTAAATCCCTAATGAAATTTTCTTGTCAAAATTCTTGCTGAAGGATTGTTTAATTTGCTGCTCATGATATATTTGGAATGACTTTATGCTCAGGAAATATGCTTCCCTCTAATACTTCCATTTTTTCTCCTCTGTTCCCTTTCTTCCCTCCATCTCTTCTTCCTTTTTCTCCTCTCTCAGTATTTGCCCAATGCCTGCTTCAAGTCACTGAAATCCCAATAACAAGGGTTTAGATGCTTGTGCTCTTCTTTCTCCCTCAGACACTGTAAAGTGGGTCATAAACAAGTACCTTGATGATAAATCTTTAAAATATAATAGTACATATATTACAAGATAATATAATATTACATATATTACAATCTCATATTACATATATTTGGGAAATGATGCAAAGGAGTTACTCTAAGAGGTTCAATGGCTGCTATCACAAGTGTCTTATAATCCCTAGCTGGGTCTTGACATGTGCTATTCCAAAAACTCACCCATTTTACCTCTCCCCAGAGAACCTGTAAGATTATTCCAGTCTATTAAACATGTACACAACAATCAAACTTTATAAGTTACATGTATTAGATACTTTTTTTGAAAAGTATATAACTTATAAAGTTTGTTGTTTCAAAAAAAGTATCTAATGCATATAACTGTTAGCTCAATCAGACCCTCCAGTGGATTCAATGAATTGCAACTCAACATTCAGATGACACCTTTGACTAATAAGTAGGGATTCTTGTGAAAGGTAGGAAAGTAATAAAGCAGAATATACTCTTGTCAAGGCCAAGAGGATGTGAACTTCTGTGTAGGAGTCAGCACCAACTGATGAAGCAATCCTGAAGGGCATATTTTACCCTGCCTCCTGCAACTTCTGTACCTTCCCATGAATAGCTGCATTCAGATTCTAAGAAGTCCTCAATCTTCTTTTTCTTTATAATGTAATTGTTGCTCCCCACAAAACTGTGATCAACCTATTGACTCCTGCCCCTGTTTCTCTTCCTGTTCACCTATACCCATTCAGGTCAGGTAACCTCCACCACCTTGACATGCAGCTAGACAGGGGCAGAGAGCAATGGGATAGCTACAGATTCAGGCATGTTTGTTTCTTTCATGTGTGCATGCCACTCTGAGTTCTCCTTGAGATCCTAACCAGTGAGATCCTGAGAGGGGCTCCCAGAACTAGATTCAGAGCAGAATCAGAGGCTGGGGTGGGATAGAGAAGAAGTCCTTCAGAAGTGAGTGTTCTCCTCCACCACACACATCTAGAGGCAGCCATTCCAGATCTTCCTGTGCCTTTCCCTCTCCATCAGCATGCTATGCCCCATGGCTGTGGCAGCAGGCAATAGGTCTGTGTGTCCAAGCTTTAGCATGCAGCTGGTATAGCTTAAACTCTTGGAGTCATCTATTTTCCATGGAAGAATAGAGACACCTCCCAGCATCAGTCCCTATATGCTGATATGCTTTCATCTGCAGTTGCTTTGGCTCTTAGAACCCAGGCTCTACTCTCAGAACACCATAGAAGATGTGAGAATCCTGGTGTGAATGTGGTTCGGAAGAAGACTAATGAAAAAAATGGTCTCAGGTTAGATTTCCATCATCACCCCAAACTCAAATTGTGTGCCTCAACTTCCTAGTAAATAATCACCTCAGGAGTCCAAAATTAGACCTGCCATAGCCTGTGAGTCTAGTCCAAGAGAGAGCACAGTTAACAGGCTCCTATTCTGAATGGTCTGCAGGGACAACTAACTCAGGCCAGAGCTCCATCTCTTTTCCCATGTACCAGGACATCCACAGGATTGTCAACCACCAGTGTCTAAAGCCTCAGTTTCAGGGCACAGGGGTGCTCCTTTGTCATATCTACCACAGTGAGGGGAGAGAATCTGAGAACATCTTGGAAAAGCCAGTGTGGGAACAGGGAGGGCTGGCTGGGTGTTTACTACATAGACACAGGAGGTGTTCCTGGAAGGGCTTTAACAGGAAACTTCCTCCATAAAAGATCCTTACTATCCTCTTGCCCCTCTCAGTATTTGTAACTCAGAAACATATGTTCTGTTTGTCAGCAATGAAATAGGGTATAATAAATGTGCTCTGAATTGGGGGTCAGAGTCTTTTTCTAATCTTGTG